GACCCATACCGCTGGATAGCCTTCTCGTACAGGTCTTCTTTTTTTCCAGGTACAAAATTGGGACCCTGAATCCTTGTCTTCATACCAGTACATACTCTGCCAGAAAACACACGACCGAATGCATAGAAACGACCTTTATCGCTAGTTGGTACCATTTTGCTTATGTACATCATCAATGGGCCGTTGACGTCGCAATTTTTCATCGCTAAAAAATAAAGATAGGCAAAAGCGATATATTCCTGTTTTACCCATAGCCGCTTCGTCGTCTTGGGGCCCTTCGTATAACAGCTCCGTTCGGTACTTCTGAGCAGTCACAGGACTAGGTAGATGAATGCAGATCATCTGCAACATTGTGTCACCTGCAGGCAACCATCTTCGCATTATTGCCTAAGACAAATATTAGCTTAGCAAAGAAAAATCGCTAAAAACTGATTTTTACCTTCAGAAGCAACTTTCCTTCAAGGTCGCGCTCTTCAGTTGGCAATTTTATGTTCAATTTATCCAAAAGTTTAGCCACTTCGTCTTTCTTGATACCCATTACTGCATTAAAAATCTTGTAAATCGGGTCCAACACGAATTGGTTGAAGCCTCGCTTGGCTTTGCCATCATTGTTGCTTTGCCATTTTTTCGTTTGTGCGTTGAAAAACCGATCACCCCATAAATTGCGCATTAGTTTCTCAGTCTGAAATATGAGTTGTGTTAAAAAGTTAGCATCTCTATAAGAAAAATTATGGTGGCAACAAATTAATAACATTATACAATAAAATCACTCTCCTTCCGGCAATGAAATAATATTACCGTAAATAAGCTGATCAATAAAAAATCATAACATTGAAAAAAAGTGACTGCCTTACTTGTATTTGCAATACCGTTTTAATCGAGTACAAGAAAATTCGTACTGAAATTGCAGATACCAAGAGGGAAGTATTCCACCAAGTAGTTTAGTATGTTTCATATACAAAAGTACATATATTTCAAACACGACTGAATAGAATACGATATCTAGAAGGTCGATTTTCGAATCTGCTATCAAAGAGGCTCCTCTAACATATATGCAACAACTTCGAATTAATGGTTTTCTTAGACATGGATGGGATGAACAACTTTTTCATTGACTTGGCGATTAAATTATCGTTGCATGATATCTTTTGTTGCCTTCTAAACGTTTGTTATGAAATAGCATATATCACGT